GCTAGAGCTTTTCTCAGCTGGCTTTGGCAGAAAGTCCTTAATGAGAATGGACAGACTCACACTAACATTCGTCAGGTTTCTATTTGTTATATTGAAAGTTTACTGGCTCGAGGAAATTTTATTACTTTTAGGTGAGTATTTTAATTATATTTTATTTATAAATTTAGGAAAAATAAAAATAATTTTTATTTTTTTTTTTTTTTTTCTTAGTTTGCTCACGGATTATATTAAAAAAATGTCTGTTTGGATAAATGAGTACATTAAATCGCACAATAAGCCTGAACATGCCTACTGTGATGTTAGTGCACACGCAGTTTTTTACTCAATGTGTAAAGCTGTTTTTTATGTAGTAGCTTTTAAAAGTCGAGATCTTACTTCCACACAAGAAAGTAAGTTTTAAAAAATTTTTTACATGCCTTATTATTATATATATTATGCGTGAGCTTAGGTACCTTGTTTAAAAATATCGATTGAAAATAATTAACAAAAAATGAAATTCGAATTTTTTTCAGTAATTTCAATTCTTTTGTTTGTACATAAGGTGAAAGACCCTTATGTACCCAGTTATTGACAATTGCAATTTTATTCTAATTAAAAAAATGGAATGTTCTTAAAAAACAAATTATTCTAAAATTTGTAATTCAAAAATTATATTTATTAATATTTTATCTATTTTAAAATGACTGAAATTAAGATTTGAGTAGTAAATAATTATTTTTAATGACTTAAGGTAAAAGAGCCAGTTATTGACACTTGCAATTTTATTTTAATTAAAAAAAAAATCAACTTTAACAAATTAATAAATATAACTAGAAAGCGGCAGTCACTATGTGACTGCCGAAAATTGCAAACTGTAATAAATAAAATTTTGCTTAATTAAACTATGATTTCTGTTAAAATGTACTGTACTTTCTTAACTATAGACATTTATAAAGATATAAGTTCATCTCGATGATACACTTATCAAGAGCTTTCATTTGAGTACCCACATGAATTTTTGATATATTTTTCATATATACATATATATAATATATATAAATATATGAAATATATGAAAAATTGATGTGGGTACTCAAATAAAAGGTCTCGATAAGTGTAACATCGGAATGAGTTTATATCTTAAAAAATATCATTAGTTGACAAGATAAAATGTCATTTCTTAATTATTGACATTTTTTAAGATATAAACTCATCCCGATGTTACAATCATCAAGAGCTTTCATTTGAGTACCCACATGCATTTTTGATATATTTTTCATATATACATATATATAATATATACAAATATATGAAAAATTGATGTGGGTACTCAAATGAAAGGTCTCGATGAGTGTAACATCGGAATGAGCTTATACCCTCAAAAATATCATTAGTTGACAAGATACAATGTAATTTTTTAATTATTTACAATTTTTAAGATATAAACTCATTTCGATGTTACACTCATCAAGAGCTTTCATTTGAGTACCCACATGCATTTTTGATATATATTTCATATATACATATATATAATATATATAAATATATAAAATATATGAAAAATTGATGTGGGTACTCAAATGAAAGGTCTCGTTGAGTGTAACATCGAAATGAGCTTATATCTTTAAAAATGTCAATAGTTCACAAGATACCAAGTCATTACTTAATTATGTATCTAGAGATTATTCTCGAATGCAGCCTAAATACTTATCATAATAAATTAACTGTTGATAAATAACATTGTATTCAAAAAATTTACAAATAACTTGATTTTAATTTTCCTAACTTTTTACTGAAAAAAAATTCTAATTTTTTAATTAAAAATTAATTAATTATTAATAAAAAAAAAATATTTACAGATCTTAAATTCCTCGAAAATCTCGGCCTAGGAAACATGGTAACCTGCAACTTGAACCCTCTCCGCGCCTGCGATGCAAGGTTTGTCCAGCGGTTTGCAGACGTAATGCGAGACTACGAAATAGTCTACTGCCACTCTAAAATAAACGACAACTTGCGGAATAACTTGCCAGTGATACAGACTACGAAAAAGTTCATAAAACAACTGGAGGTATTTTACCCCTTCGACGCTTACGTATTGCTCCAGAGCTCGGAGAAGATAAAGCCAATTTATCAAGAGTACCAAGCTGCAAATCCTGCGTTAAGGTCTAAAGAAATTTTAAACACCGAGAACAGCAATATGGAGAACGACGAGGACGACTACATGGATGACTTTGGGACGCCGCATCCTGAAGACTCAGTTATTAACCCCTTAATGGAGCAATGCTCTTCACCTCCTAATTTTATGGAGACTTGAAAATACTTAAATTTATTTAATATACCTAGGTGAATTAATTTTAATTTATTAAGTCATTAAAGTTACGTGCAATTAAATATGTCTTTAATGGCTTGACGTGTATTTTATAATTATCAGCGTTTATTACAAAATTAAGTTTATTTAAATAAAATTAATTGTACAAAAGATGTGTGTGGAATGTAAGTTTATGATTTATAAATTAATCTTACTTATATATTTTATAATTATGATTTTAATTGCTCTACGTCGAGTCTAAGTAGACTGGTATGTCTTCTTGTTGTTTTAATAAAGTGCTCAGTGCTAGTTCTAGATTTTCTGGTAAGTGGTCCAGTAACATCCTCGGCATTACTGATAGCTCCATAAAATCTTCTGGTTGCGCCCAGCGCATCTCGTACTGCCGGTCTTTTTTATTTGTTTTTCTATCACTACTGTAAAATTATTAAATTTTTATTTAAAAATTCTTAGCTAAAAATGATTTTTTTTTTAAACACAGTAAAGTTTTGTTGTTGTAATTTATACCTGGGCTGGTTCTCATCTGGGGGAGATTTTAGTCGAACTAGGTGAAGAATACGACCAGCGTTGTATAGTCTTACTTTTGAATATCTTCTTCTTGCTACATCACGTTCTAAAATCATCGCTTCCTAAAAGTAACAAATAAAATAATTACTTTTGTGAAATTGCACTGTATTTTCTTAAATATTGACATTTTTAAAGATATAAGCTCATCCTGATGTTACACTCATCAAGAGCTTTCATTTGAGTACCCACATGCGTTTTTGATATATTTTTCATATATACATATATAATATATATAAATATATGAAATATATGAAAATTGATGTGGGTACTCAAGTGAAAGGTTGCGATGAGTGTAACA